GCATGAAATTTTATTATCACTTTGGGGATGTTCAACCAGTGTATCACAGATAATAGAGACAGATGTAAGTACATATCATATATTATCGCAAAAATAATATATAAACTGAAAATATTATTTTATATGCTTTGTCAATTTTCTTTGCAGTCTATAGATTTTGATAAATACTTACATCCTGGAGAACGGATATTGCTTAATAGAGTATTAGATATTGTAAAGGAATGCAATATTGTACGACATTTTATACACACGATCAGCAAGGAGCGTATAAAAGGTTTAAAAAGAAATTTAATGAATGTTTTTATGTATATTGATTTAAGATTGATTTAAGATTAATTATTTTATATTCTGTAGCTTCTGGGCTATACATATGTGCTTTATGCGATGGAATGGATCAAGCATTGGAACCATTTCGTGAAGAAATAATTGAATTGGAGAATCTAGTTTTAAATGACAGTTATATTTCACTGTCATTAATTCTTTGCACTGTTGAAAAATATACTTGTCTATTTTCTGTATTGCATTCTATCATTCATGAGGTTATTGGACATTTTTCCAAGAGAGAAGCTTTGCATTATCAATATCAACTTTTTTTATGATTATATCATTTTTCTTATTTTAATTGATGTATATATATATTTTTTTTCTTTATTGTATTTTGTTATAAAAATAGGTATTTTACAGGAAATATGTGTTGTTTAATAAGAATTTAAATTATAACATTTTTATATTTTATAATTAAATTGAATAGCTTATAAAATATTAATTTATATACAGGAAGATAAAAAAAGATTTTTGTTAACCAACTATTTTATTGTAGATTCGTACACAAAACCTTTATGGTTGTAAGTTGTTGCAATGTTTACATCAGCGTATGCATACTGGCATACCTGAAATCAACTCCGCTTTGGAATTGTAAGTGATTTATAATGAAATTATTTAATATCATTAGTTTTATGATATTTAAATACTCGTTTTTAGGATGGCTCACTCCGTTCATATTGTTTTCTACAAACATCTAACAAGTTGGCTCTTATATGGTCACTTAGAGGATATTCACAAGGAGTTTTTTATACAAAAAACATCGGATTGTGAGAAACATGAGAATGAAAAAAACAATATTTATACATGCGAATCAGCAAATGACAAAAAGATCGATGTTGATATGTGGGATTATAATGTTCAGATTAACCTGCTTCCATCTTATATCAGACTGTCACTAGCAAATAAAATCTTAACTATCGGTCAGACTGTCATTATGTTTGGAAACGATCCTAGACAAAAAAAAGGTAAATGTATAAAAAAATTTATTTCTAATTCCTCGAAAAACAAATTATTTTGTTATTATAAATAATTAATATTATTAATATTAATAATTAATATTAATATTAATATTAATAATATAAAATTATTTTGCTATTATAAATAAGTTATGTGATAAAGGACAATTATATAAAGTTAAATTATAAT